ATCTCTCTCTCTCTCTCTCTCTCTCTCTATCTCTCTCTCTCTCTCTCTCTCTCGCTCTCTCTCTCTCTCTTTCTTCATCTTTACCTCACTAGACTCCATCACTATGTAATGGCTATTGATCCGTCCTCCACCTTCTCATTATTATTGCGCGTGCGTTTTTTGGAGAAACCTTAGTCACGTCAACTAGCTTCACGAGAAAGCCGACACTGCGTGCGTTGCATTCGTAATGGGGACGCGAGCGAGCGCGCAGGTTTCCTCCCGCAGGTTTCCTCCCGCAGGTTTCCTCCCGCAGGTTTCCTCCCGCAGGTTTCCACCCGCAGGTTTCCTCCCGCAGGTTTCCTCCCGCAGGTTTCCTCCCGCAGGTTTGTTTCGCCGCCGCATGGTTTCCTACCCCAGGGTTTTTCACTGACCCGGGCAGGTTTTCCTCCCCTCCCGGGGCCGCAAAGTTTCCTCCCGCAGGTTTGCTCCGCGCAGGTTTTCCAGACCGGCCCGCAGGTTTTCCTTCCCGGCAGGTTTCCTCCGCAGGTTTCCATCCACCGCAGGTTTCTCGGCCGCAGGTTTGCCTCCTGCAGGTTTCCTGCCGCGCAGGTTTCTCGCCGCATGGTATTCCTCGCGCGCAGGTTTCCTGCCCGGCAGGTTTTCCTGCCCGCAAGGTTTCGCTCCGCCAGAGTGTTGCCTCCGCAGGGTTTCGCTCCCGCAGTTTCGCTCCCGCAGGTTTCCGCGCAGGTTTCCACCCGCAGGTTCCTGCCCGCAGGTTTCGCTCTCCGCAGTTTCGCTCACGCCGCAGGTTTCCTCACCTCCGCAGGTTTCGCGATCGCCGCAGGTTCTCGCCGCAGGTTTACGCCATGCCCGCAGGTTTCGCTAGCCCGCAGGTTTCCTCAACCGCATCTTTCAATCCCGGCAGGTTTCCTCCCGGCAGGTGTTCCTCCCCCATGCCGCAGGTTTTCCTCGCCGCAGGTTTTCCTCCCGCAGGTTTCCTCCCGCCAGCGTTTGGCCATCGCCGCAGGTTTCCTCCCGCCTCGGCGTTGCAGGTTTCACTGCAGCCGCAGGTTTCCTCGACCGCAGGTTTGCCTCCCCCTCCCGCCAAGGTTTCCTCCCGTAGGTTTCGCTCGCCCCCGATCAAGAGCGGCACCTTAAAGTTTATTACGTCACGGCGTAATAGTAAAAAAATGAACAAAATATTGTCCAACTCATTCACAAAATATACAGTAATTTTGTTCACCTTTTATGGTTAAAGGTTGCTGGCATTATAACTTCGCCTGTTTTACTATATTATGTACACTAGTGTGAACATACACTCGTGACTCATACATAGCCCATAGCAAGCAATTAATGTTGGGAAACATTAATATCAAATCGTCAAAACGGTTTTTGTTTGGATTTTTAACTAGTTGAGAAAACAATCTTATAAAGGTAAGAATTGACGAATACGTTTAGTCCGCGTTCGTCTTAGCTTTTAAATGTAAAACAAAATGGCAACAAAAATTTTAAAAAAATTATTAGCCATGAGCAAAAAATTCGTGACGTAGTCAATTAACATCTTCCTGCATGGGAGGAACGCAGCGATGAAACTGCGCGATTAATAAAGGCAGTCAAAGAAGGGAAGTAGCCATCCCGGGCTAAATAGAAATACTATAATATATAGTCACTTCAATACTGTAGTATCATTATATATGTAAGGCATACTGCTCGCTCTCCGATTGCTCTCCCTCTCTCCTCTCTGCTCCCCGTCAGCATCTCTATGCTCTCACGGCTCTCTCGGCTTCTCTGGCTCATTCTTCGCTCTTCTTGCTGCTCTTTCTACTCTGCTCAGTCGTAATATGTCCGGCACTAGTAATGAACCTATGTATGCGAATTTCTCCGGCGCGTGCATCACAAGTGACGTATAAGTGACGGCATATGACGTGAGCGCCGCACGCGCAGAACGCCCGCAGGCAGACGAGCAATGCGGCGATGCTTCCCCTCCCGTTCATCTCCTACACCACTGACTACATGAATACATGAATAGAGAAGAGATAAGAGAAGGGAGCAGAGGAGAAGAGAGAGGGAAGGAGGAGAGAAGAGAGAGAGAGAGAGAGAGAGAGAGAGAGAGGAGAGAGAGAGGAGAGGATGAGAGAGAGAGAGACGACGAGAGAAGCGAGCGAGAGAGAGAGAAGAGGGAGAGAGAGAGGAGAGAGAGCAGAGAGGTAGAGAGGGAGAGAGGGAGAGAGAGAGAGGAGAGGAGAGAGAGAGAAGAGAGAGAGCGAGAGAGAGAGAGAGAGAGAGAGAGGGAGACGAGAGAGAGAGAGAGGGTAGAGAGGGAGAGGGAGAGAGAGAGAGAGGGAGGAGAGAGAGAGAGAGAGAGAAGAGAGAGAGGGAGAGAGAGAGAGAGAGAGAGAGGAGAAGGGTAACGAGGGAGAGAGAGAGAGGAGAGGAGAGGAGAGAGCGAGAGAGAAGAGAGAGAGAAGGAGAGAGAGAGAAGAGAGAGAGAGAGAAGACGAGAGCAGCGAGGGATAGAGGGAGAGAAGGAGAGAGAGAGAGAGAGAGAAGAGAGAGAGAGAAGAGAGAGAAGAGAGAGGGAGAGAACGGAGAGAGAGAAGAGAGAGAGAGAGAGCAGAGCGAGAGAAGGGAAAGAGAGAAGGAGAGAGAGAGAGAAGAAGAGAGGAGAGAGCGAGCGAGAGAGAGAGAGAGAGAGAGAGAGAGAGAGCCAGAGAGTGAGAGTAAAGAGAGCAGCAGAGACGAGAGACAGAGCCGAAGAGCGCGCGAACCGAGAGAGAGAGAAGAGAGAGAGACGAGAGATTGAGCAGGAGAGGCGGAGCAAGGAGAGGCGAACGAGAGAGAGAGAGAGAGAGAGAGAGAGAGAGGAGAGCAGAGAGAGCGAGAGAGAGAGAGCAGAGGAGACGACGCACGAGAGAGGGAGACA